CCGTACTTGTATACAAAATAATGATGAACCAGTTACCTCCACGGATAAACAATATATTTACTGACTGGCTATAAGTATTTCCATTTCTTTCCTGTTCTATTTCAAACTTTATTTGACTTGATGCACACATAAAACACAATGAATGTAAATGATATAAAATATATGAGATATATATCTCTTCTTTATTTCAGTTATGTTTGTTGGGGAAACTAATTATCATGCAAATAAAATTATGCAAATAAGATGTAATGTTATGTAAATTAGCCGCGATGCTTGGCTTAGAGTCTGAGGAGAACACTGAAACCTATTTCACATATCCATAGTTAAATTTGACAGATCTGAGAAAATAAACTACCATTCACTAAATTATTCTATTAGTTATGCATGTTTTTACATAAATTGAAGCATCAACAGTAAAAACAGGTAAATTTTTTTGATTTCACTCGAAAAAAATACAAATTGTGGTAACTTAACCTTCAAGTATAGATATGCTATATTAAAAAGCAGTTCTGCAGAGCACTTCATGCTGATGCATCCCATTTTTATGCTAAAAAGTTGACCACACAGTTTATAGTGTAATTAGCAGGAATTGCGTTAACCCCATATTTTGCTTCCCGGACTCCAATTATTGAAGAGGGACCCGGACCCATTTTTTCAGGCAAGCTGGGGTCCAATCTCTAATAAAGTCATCCAGGGTCAAATTTCAATTTCTTAAAATGTTTTAAGTGGGACTCGTCTTGCCGAGACACTAGCGCAAACCCTGATTAGATATCAAGTCATAAAAAAATGTAAAGCATTCTATAACCTAAGTGCGCCTAAGTGTGCTGCATAATTTATATTTTTGTCTTCTTCTAATAATAAAATAAATGTTGATTTCAAATAAAATTATCTTCCATCTTCCTATCATAATGACATTATGGCAATTCAATGCATACTTACACTGATTATAGAGCTTTTATATGAATTATATTACATGTACGAGTCAGAGCCAATCCTACTCCCTAGCAACATGTAATGGCTAATGTATCCAACTAGATAGACAACAAAATAGAAAGAGCAGACCAAAAATTGCTAAATGAAGAAAATGTATACTTTTATGGCAGCCAATAATTTGATTAACAAAACGTTGACTTGTCAGATATAAGTGTTATATAGAGTTAGTAAAATCAGAGGCACAAACAGATAAACTTTATACTACCTTGAATAACGTAATTTTAAAAATGTCATTTTAGTACACTAGATCATGGAGGTAAAACATTATCTATTTTTACTTTTATGAAGCAAGTTTAGACCTGAACAGAATAAATATATCCACATACATGTAGCTGTAATTTCTCACAGTCTGACTATAAGGCATGTTTTTAGGTACAGTTTGTCCTATTATATTTCCATATAAAACAGTAGAGATGGCAATTAGAAAAATCCAGTTACAACATCACATGCAAAAGATGTCAGTTATTTTGGATGCAGTGAGGTTATACTAGTTCACAAATCTCTACCTATTACACAGTGGTGTTACATAAATGTACAAATGTGAACATCAAATGAGAAAAACAAGTTTACAAAAATACAAAGACATGTTCTGTGTAAAAGCTGTAAAGTATATCACTAATATGTACCAGTATACAAATGATTGACTACATGTCAGTATGTGTGGGTAAAAAATAAATTATTGTTATTAATATTAATTTTAGTTCTCCAAAAAATATCACTATATTTACATGATGAGTGTTAAATGATTGTTTACCTGTGATAAGTGACGATAAATCCAGTATTTTATAGACTTAAAATTCTGTGATTGGTAGTTCTGTTTGATTTTTTCCCTGAATTTTGTTGAAAATTAGCTAAATCTGTTGTGTGTAGTTTGTAGACAAAAAGTCAACGTCGTGAACGTACAACACGTATAGACAGCAGGGGAACATGTCAAAATATGAGAATTACACCAGATTAGTAATTCAACTAAGACATTAAATGTGAAAAACAACAAAATCGAACGACTCGTTTGAGATCACGACAAATATCGACTCGACTGCTGCCTACGAATTTGTTGGGCCCCCACTTCCCTGATGGCGATGTCGTGTGCGTAAAAATCTTAATTCGAACATATAACATATAAACAAACGAGAAGACATTCATTTCAACAACATTATAATAAAGATACACATTCAGACGATAGTGTCATCTAATTCGGATAGTTTTGATCACGTAAATGCGAATAAATGACGATTTCTCACCTTCAACTCCGACGTTTCCGCCATTGTGAATTTCTTTCATAACAATTTGAGCATGCGTAAACGAGTCAACCTCGTTTTGGATTTTTTAATTTATGCAAATCATATGAGAACAAATTAAAAAAATGGTAATTTACGACAAAATTAAAAAAAATGAGATCGGAACTTTTTTTAAAATTTATTTGGAATATAAATTGCGAGTAATATACCAAAATAAACACCTTTTAAAAAAAAACTATCGTTGACTTCTGGGTAATAAAAGGGGCCAGTCTTGTCCGCCATTTTGAACGAAAACTAACTTGGGGGAAAATGGTGTAATCGTTGATATCAAACATGGAATCTCTCAGCTATGCCACTCTGAGGACATCAAATCAAGCAAGAGAAGCAGTGAGTTTATCTAATTTTGTTGACATGCAAACAATGTCAAAATTAAGTTCCTTTAGTTTAGTTTCTTGGACTTGTTTTGACCAAATGCACTCGCGCTGCGGATTGTTGTCTGTTGACATGGTAGCGCACAGCTGAGTCCAAGACATCAGTTGAGAGGAAACGTTAAAATTGTTGTCACGGTACTTTACGTAGAACAACCCAGCCACAGTGAGACTTGTCGATAGAAACGTATACTGTCGTAGCAGCGCACAGTCGTCAA